CACTCTTTCACTTCATCTGTTTTACTCTCATGCTCCTCATGTTGCCACACAGCTCCACTGTTTTTTTGTTTTTGTTTGTTTTTTTTAAACATTCCAATAGCCTCCGTCTTCATTAGTGTCCTCCTTCCCACGTGTCTCACTGCTGCTTCAGGCTGAAGAAGAAAGAAAAAAAAACAACAGAGAATAATTTGTTACTCCTCATTTTGTGTCCTCACAGGGAGGCAGCGCTGTGACGGGACGTGAAGCCCGGTGGATGGAAAAGACGCTCAGTTTCACGGCCGTTTCTCCATCGCTGGTAAGTAATCTCATTCACCTGTCTGCGAACCCATGTCTAATGTCGTTGTTGATTCAGTGCAGGAGGGAAAAAAAATGAAAATAGAGGAAGCGGGCTTGTGGGTAATACACCGAGATAAATATGTTTTGACAGGCTAGCTTGTAATCCTTCACTTCCTTTTCCCTCCACTGCGCTGAGAACAATTCCACCTCATTGGGAAACATCCCAGCTCCACTGTATGTGATGCTCCAACCAAAAATCCTGTTGCTCCGTCTTCTGGTTATTACACCCATCCATTATGCCTTCTACGTTTCTGGCAGAGCCCCATGTTTGAAATAAACTAGAAAGATAGCGCAATAAACCCTTAGGTTTAAGCTTCAATACTTACTCTGGATCGGGCTTCATCTAGAGATACACTTGTTTTTTCGCCGCACCTTTTTGCTGTGGCTGCACTTTGTCTCTTTATCTCCGAGAAACAACGCGGCTCCGGCGGCAAACACGCCACACTTAATTACTACCAAAGATAATAACTTACAATGAAGCTCATGCTAATCAACCAACACCGAGTCAAACGGAGATAAGGATTTTTACCAACAAATATGTTGGAATAAAACCCTGTTGCTGACCTTTGACCTACCAGTAGCCTTTATGACCAATGACAGAACATGGACTGTGTTTTTTAAACTTGAACCCTTGTGTCACCTCACTCCAGTCTCAGCCTCAGTACAGCACATGCTGTAAATAGCATTCACATGTTTTTTATTTGATTAATTCCACAAATTAAATCACGCCCCTCACCGTCACACGCTAACGCGTCAATTTGGACAGCCCAAGATAAAATTAAAATCAATTTGATGTGCTGCACCGCCACAGCTACACGTCCGCTCAGCGGGACTCACCCCCCTCTTTGGGAGCCACTGGTGCAATTGGAATAAAAAATATCACATGTTACCTATGCCCCCCTCTTTGGGAGCCACTGGTGCAACTGGAATAAAAAATATCACATTCCATGTCAGAGGTGACTTTAGTTTTTCAACTGCTTCAATTAAGGAAAAACAATAATGGAGGATTGTTTCCTTCATTTAAACAGTTGAAAAACTACTTGTTCATATTTTTCTGGCTCAGAAAACTTAGTTCACAGAACCACAGACCCAGACTCGGTCTACAAACACGGCCATCCTTCTCTGCCTTAAATCAGTCGTCATACAAATCAGCACAAAAAAAAATCCACATTTTATTTTTGTTACCGTCCTCATTAAAACAGCTCCTCTCCACTGTGCTCTGATTGAGAGTGTCCCACAAACACAACACCGCCTCTAACCTTTAGGCAGGGCTGCAGGAGGATTGTGGGGATGCAGCGGCACCACGGCTGTCATGGCCGATCCCAGTAATGGCTGTTAAAACGGTGGCCTCTCCACCCTGTCTGCACTGTGATTGGACGGGTGGTAAAGACGGAGGTAAGAGCTCCGAGACGACAGGGAGAAAACGGAGTGGCTCCCAGATAAAAGCCTCTTTCCTCCAGTTGTTTTGATGTATGGCTGTTGGAAGGAGCCGCGGTGTCACAACCTGAGAGCTCACTGATACCTTCAAACTACTGTAGTTTTCATTTGCCGAGTACTTTTGTCTGCAGTTTTGTTTGTTGAAGCACCTCCGGTGTGTTATCAGGTTAGAGCAGCCACGGAGGCTGAGCCAGACAAGAATCTGAGGAATCACAGTCTTTTTTTGGATGAAGAAGAGACTGCAGATAATTTTCTATTTTTGCTCATCATGCAGCATTTAAGACTTTTTAAGGTCTGCGTGGTGTGGACGGCTGTTGTATCCGCGGCAGAATCTATGACTTTTTAATGCAGGGAGACTGGTGAGGATATAAGACGATGTCAGGAAGGCGTCTGTCCAGGGTCCTGAAATAACCTTTTACACATGACCAGACAGTAACAGTGACATCTGAGTCACACATTCAGGTCTGCTGTAAAAACACATCAATATCTGAACCATTTGCATTCAGAGTTACACTCCACTGAATGCAGTAATCTCCACAGATCTTCTGGTTTAACCAGTGTATACAGGTGGAGACACTGGGGAATGCATTCTTTCAATGTGAAGTGCTCACAGAACCTGAAAACAAGTGTGAGTGTGTGTATGTGTGCCCTCTCCTCCTCAACATCTGTTAGCTGGTGTTGTAGCCTGTGTGTCTGAGCCTCCTTTGAAAGCAACACTAAATAATTACCAGGGTGAGCAGGCTAAATGGACCGGCCCTGACCTCAGCCGTGTCGCTCCCAGCCCTGCTTTAGTAGGAATATTAACTCACACAAACGTGCCTACAAAGGGACGGGCCAGAGGTTGAACCACCGTAATGAGAGAGCCTGTTTTAGTGGGAGTTAAACCACACAGTGTCATTGGTCAGATGAGGCCGGGCTGACAGTTCACATCCAGCCTTTGTTTTTGTTTGGTTTTGTTTTCTTGGGGACTCCAAGGAGATAATTAGACTCCTCATTTTTATGGAATCTAACTTGGACTAAACACCTTTCAGGCTGAATGTGAAAACCCTGGACTAAACACCTTTCAGGCTGAATGTGTTTGCTAAAAAAACCCCCAAAAAAACCTGTTAGCCAAAGCTATAAAAGCTTTGAAAATATTTCTCATTGACTTTAAAGAGCAACTTTGCAAGTTCAGAGCAGGAGTTGTTAATAATAAGAGCTTCAGCAGACAGAGAGCAGGGTTTGTTTAATAAATCACCAGGACAGGAAGTAGATATTATTGGCACTGCTATAATACGCGGTATAATAAAGCAATTGCAGGACATAAATGGTATTGACAAAGTCAGAACTTTTGCCATGTTGTTGTTGCCGTTGCTGGAGGACCGTGAACTTTACATTGTGTTGCTTAACTCACAATCGGGGGCAATGGGAGGGGGGAGGGGCGATGAGCAAGAGGTTTTAACAGTGGAAGGGCAACATAACTGCAGCAGTTAAAATAAAAATAAAATAAAAAAGAGCCTCATTTCCTGCGTAGGAGGAATCTTGTTAAAAAAAGTAAAACAATTATCCTTAAACTACTAATATTTAGATTTACCTCTGGTTTTGGCTCCAGATCAGTTTGACTCGAGGCGTGATGTAGGACAAGGCAGATACTTGGATTAGGTATTAAAATTAAAAGTTATTCTGATGGAAACAGCCGACTGTAATAAAATAAAAATAAAATGGCTCTGAGCATTTTCTCGCTAAAGTTTTGTCGCGCTCACACCTACGCACTTCACCTTATTACCCACAGTGCCGAGCCACCTATATAAAACTGCCTTCCAGCTCATTGCTATTGTCTTAATCTCAGCCTAATGATGACATCACTGTGCATCGCCTAGGACATTGAAAGCATCGCTGGATTCCTTTTTTTCTCCTTGACCAGTTGGTGTAGCTTCAATATTTTTAAGGTTTTGTTTTAAAATTTGCACGAGAGTATTTTCAAACCAGCCATGAACAAACGTTAAACACATCCAGTGGAATATGGGGGTAACTGGGGGTTAACTAACTAACAGGTAACTAACTATTTTACTGTAACTATTTTACTGACCTNCCCCCCCCCCCCCCCCCCCCCCCATATGGGTCTGATTACAGCTGTCAAGTTGTATTTAATGCATGCAGGTGTACGACGGTGGAGCCGACCTTGTGATTCAGTGTGAAGTCAGTGTGAGATGCTGTGTTGTATGCGTGGGTGGAGCTCTTGTGTGTGAGCGAGAGTGATGGCTTCTGAAACGCACACTCCTGTCTTCCTGTTTCACCTGAGTGACTGATTAATGTCAGAGGAAATTGGGTCGATGAGGTGGAACCGTCGGAATTGTTCTGTTTCCCAGGGGATCAATACTGTGGCGGAACACAGCCGGAAAGACTCAGTTCAAGTACCAGCGTTCACTCCCACACTGAACACAAGTCGACAGTGAGGGCTGGTGCTGGTGCACTGGAACGCTGGCTGTCCTCTGTACTGAACGATCACGCACACAAACCACTGAGTTAAACAAAACAGCAGCCAGTTACCTGTTCTGCTGGACAACTACCCTCATCTGTATTAGTAATGGTTTGTACTCATATACTGTAGTACTTTTCTAGCCCTGAGGAGCACTTTACACTACAGGTTTAACCTTTAATATAGGGGGGTATAACCTGCTTAATCTGCAATCCAACCCACAATCCTCCTGGGTGTCAGTACTACCTACTAAATAAAACAATGCTAAATAAAAAAAAAAACATAAAAAATTTTTAGATTTTGAAAACTTTTGCTACGGGCAGCCTGGTGGCTGGGACTGAAGCTACATCGAAGTATTATTAGTTAAAGCTGGTCTTGGTTGAGTCCGTCTCAGAGTTCGACTCTTTGATGCAGTTTCTTTAGATTGATATTTACACTGAGCTTGGACTGGGCTCAATACAGACCAAAACCTCCTCTGTGGTCTACGCCGGTGGAGTGAGTCCAGGATCGGGGAGTGTTTAATTTGTAAAGCTACGCTGTTTGATTATTACTGTTTTATTCTGTGGGAAAAACGTACTTTTACTACTGATTATGTGCAGACGACCGGTTGACAAACTGCCGGAGTGTATCACTGATGTCAGTTGTTTATTTCAGAGAGCAGCGTTCTTGGTCTGAGTGTAGCCCTCAGCTCTGGAGCTGGGATTCAACATTTTTATGGCCAACATTACCCCACAGCTCCTATAAAGTCAGAATATTAAAAAGATCAGATAGAGCTTCAGATTGGGGCTTTCTTTAGTAACTATTTTCATTTATTAGGGCTTTAGCTGAGCGATAAAGAACTACTTGAGCTAATGGATCTTTCTGGAAGTCACCCACACCAGACACAGATATTGAAGTCCGTGACCTGGGTGGAAGAAAACCTCCTTTTTCTCCCAACCATTTTTAAAATTTATTTTCTTTTTGTCTCTCACTGCACATCATTTCCTCATTTCTTTTGCCCTCAGTAGTAAAGACTTGGAGCTGTCAAACACGAGTGTTCACTTCCTCCTCTGCTCTTTATCTCCCTGACTGCACCCCAGGACAAAGTAAGAAGATTTTCTCGCTTGACTTATTTTATGTTCTGCCTCTTTGCGGCCTTTTCTGCTCCAAAATGCTGTTTAGTCTTGTGTTACTTCCTTTTTTACCTCAGTCCTCCCTTGACAAATGTATCACAGCCCCCCCCCCGTCTCTCTGCTCTTTTATTTCCTTGCACCTCTGTCTCTCACTCCATGCATCTTCCTGTCAACCTCCATCTCTCTCTTCCATCTGTCTGTAGTGAAGACAGCACTGTCTCTCTTCTTCTCCTCATAAATATCAATAGGTCTGTGTCTCCTTCCTCTTTTCCACTTTGCAACAGTAAAACGGAGACAAACTTTTTAAGATCCCAGAGTTTTTACATGATTTACAGCCGGTGTCGCCGCGGCGGCGGCGTGGGCCGCTGCTCTTATCCACGCTGATGTAGAATGAGTGGGTTTCACTGCTGTATAAATAAAGCCATAAAGGGTTTTCCAGCGGCTTCCTCTGTGCATTAAAGTATTCAAAGGACAGTTCCTTGACTACTGCAAATATAATTTACTATGACCTTGAATTCTACTCAATAGGAAAAACACTACAAATCCTACAAATGGTACCACCTGGTATTTCATCAGAGTAAAAACCCATGAGCAGCATAAATGTTTGCTGTTTATCCCGATACGTGCTGATGATCCTGGACAGGTTTACATCTGATGAGACTTTTCTTTATAAACATTATCCTGAACTTAGATGTAAATGGAGGCTTAAATCATCTAAAATTTCTATTTTTTCCATTTTTAAGTGCTTGGAAATATTCATATTAATTATGGACTTACAGCCGGCAGCTTTCAGCTTTGTGCACTGATAGCTGTTAACCTTCACAGTGTGTCTGAAGTCATGAAAGCAGTTCTTGGATTTGGTGTCACATCAGCTGTGACTGCAGATAATTTTCGTGACCTCGATGGAACTGTTATCTACATTTGTTTGGAGTGTTGCACTAAAATAGACCGTGAACACAAGGCACTTGTTTCACTTTTTATGGCACGTAGGCGTATGACAGGAGGTTAGGTTTCAAGAACGTTCCTTCCTATAGGAGAAAAACTTCTATAGAAATCAGCAAAAAAAAAAAAAAAAAAAAAAGAAAAAAAGCCAGACAATGACAGTAAGAGTTCAACTAATCTACGAAGTATAAATCTCTAGAGTCAAACAGTTTTCCTTCCTTTTTTCCCCCAGCCCTCCCTTGACAAATTTATCCCAGCCCCCCCCCCCGTCTCTCTGCTCTTTTATTTCCTTGCACCTCTGTCTCTCACTCCATGCATCTTCCTGTCAACCTCCATCTCTCTCTTCCATCTGTCTGTAGTGAAGACAGCACTGTCTCTCTTCTTCTCCTCATAAATATCAATAGGTCTGTGTCTCCTTCCTCTTTTCCACTTTGCAACAGTAAAACGGAGACAAACTTTTTAAGATCCCAGAGTTTTTACATGATTTACAGCCGGTGTCGCCGCGGCGGCGGCGTCGGCCGCTGCTCTTATCCACGCTGATGTAGAATGAGTGGGTTTCACTGCTGTATAAATAAAGCCATAAAGGGTTTTCCAGCGGCTTCCTCTGTGCATTAAAGTATTCAAAGGACAGTTCCTTGACTACTGCAAATATAATTTACTATGACCTTGAATTCTACTCAATAGGAAAAACACTACAAATCCTACAAATGGTACCACCTGGTATTTCATCAGAGTAAAAACCCATGAGCAGCATAAATGTTTGCTGTTCATCCTGACGTGCTGATGATCCTGGACATGTTTACATCTGACGAGACTTTTCTTTATAAACATTATCCTGAACTTAGATGTAAATGGAGGCTTAAATCATCCAAAATTTCTATTTTTTCCATTTTTAAGTGCTTGGAAATATTCATATTAATTATGGACTTACAGCCGGCAGCTTTCAGCTTTGTGCACTGATAGCTGTTAACCTTCACAGTGTGTCTGAAGTCATGAAAGCAGTTCTTGGATTTGGTGTCACATCAGCTGTGACTGCAGATAATTTTCGTGACCTCGATGGAACTGTTATCTACATTTGTTTGGAGTGTTGCACTAAAATAGACCGTGAACACAAGGCACTTGTTTCACTTTTTATGGCACGTAGGCGTATGACAGGAGGTTAGGTTTCAAGAACGTTCCTTCCTATAGGAGAAAAACTTCTATAACAAAAAAAAATCTGATTAAAAAAAAAAAAAAAACAGTAAAAAAAAGCCAGACAATGACAGTAACAGTTCAACTAATCTACGAAGTATAAATCTCTAGAGTCAAACATCCGGCCCGCTCTGGGTTCAATACGGCCCCCTTGATGAATGTTTAAAGTGAAGAAATGCACTGTGAAAACACTGCATGTTAGTGATATTTTTAATTTGTTTCTACAGTAATATATTTGTACTAATTTGCATGAAAACACAGGGGAAAAACATGGACTTATTGTTATTTATTCACTGATTGGACGAGCTGATCGGACCTGACCTGTGACCAGATGGTCAGCAAATGATTTTCTGGTTGCGCGGGCCGATCTTTTTTACACGTGTCAGAAAACAGCCAGGAGCTGAAGCTAACATGTCGTTAGCCTGGAAGTACCTCACTGTGAGCCAAGATAGTTCTAAGCTCGCTACTTGTAATACCTGTAAACGTGAGGTTAACTGTTCCCTGAAATACTCTGATAGCTGAGCCTCGCAGTATCACTGCACACTCACACGTACAGTACACACATTTATGTACACATTCGTAGTTGGCGTACTCACTTGTTCTGGTGCTTGGAGCCCTGAAGGTGTGCGTGGTACTGTTCAATGGAGTTGAGAACCACACTGCAGACGTTGCAGGAGTAACTACTGCGTAACCCTGGAAAAACACACACACACACACACACACAGAGGTTACACCAAGTTCAATGACTGCATGGTTCACAAAGAGCCTTAAAAGTCACCCTCAGCAGCAGCATGTAGGTCAGCAGCAGCAGCAGCAGCAGCAGCAGCAGCAGCAGAAACAACACGTAAATAGAACAAGATAAGAGTCTTATTTTACACCTTACATTGCCGGATAATTCCTTGTAATTAGAGTGCATCTGCAGAAAGATTTGATTAGGCTAATCATTAGCAGAAAACTGGCTACATTTTTGGCTCCTTTAATGTGTGCCTGTGTGTGTATGGGTGGGATGTGATGAGGGGAGGGAGGAGGGGGGGGGAGGGAGAGGGCGGGGGGGGGGGGGGGGGTGAGAAAAGAACAGTGCGATGTGTCTGTGCAAGTGTGTGCTTTTGTATTGTACTCGCACTGCGAATGTGTGCTGCTCGAGATTGTGCCGCTCAGACACAGATGTGAATTAATTAGAGGGTTTGCAGGTGGTCCAAATGAACCGCCAAAAATAGATGTAGTAGGACGGAGATGCTGACAGAGCGGGGTGAAGAGTGATCGAGTGGGTGGAGTGGGGGTCGGTAGAGAAAATGCGAATCGAGTGGGGGAAGAAAAAAAAAAAGCTTTGCTGAAATATAAAAAGTCTCAAATTACTAGAAGGAGAAGAGTTTAGCAAACTGGGGAGAAACTGGGATTTGGTGACAAGAAGAAGTGATGGCAGTCAAACAGTTAGATAAACAGAACAGTGAGAATACTAAATGTTGCCTTCCCAGAACATCTGTGGTCTCCACTGTCTAATTCTGCTCTTCAGAAGTCAGGACTCATGTCTACAAATCCATGTTTTGTTATTTTTGAGTCCCCATTTATATTTTTCTTAAAGTGCGTTGGAGACCATAATGTTTTTTTTTAACTGTTTCACGTGGAGATGTCACTGCATCAGCAAACTAAATCTCTCTCCACCTCACCTCCACTTCCTGTTCTCCTCTCGTCCCATACACTCCTCTGATTTGCTTTTAAAGTTTTGGTGATGAATGTGTACCCGTGGGCGTGAGCGGTGAATAAATCAGTGCATCGGTGCCCTTTTCTCTGCTGTCATTTTTGTCCTTGAGATCTATGAGATGTTGCTGTGTTCCTCCACCTCTTGGCCTTCTGCAGAGGTAATTG